CAGAGCTGCTAAATGAGAGTGGAAGTGGTGTGAGGAGCCCTGTGCGGTGGCCCACACAGAGGAGGTCCTCAGTGGGCAGGTACCAACCATGGTGATGACGGTGATGACAGGGGAGCCTAGCATGAGGCCTGCACCCTCTGCGTGAGGCCCATGACATCCACCCCCCAAGCCATGCTCACTGCCCCCACCCCACTGCAAAAAGGGTCACAGAGCAGATTCCCACACGAATGCCTCTTCCCTTCCCTGAGTTCACCCAGAGCGGCCACCAGCGTCACCCAGGGGACGACCTGGCCCATGCCCTTGGGTGGACCAGTTTCGAAGGGCAGATCCTACATGCGTGCAGAAATTGTGAGTCCAAGTCAGAAAAGGCTAGCCACAGGATGTGAGGGCCCTGGAGGAGGCAGGGGGCTTCCACAGGTGGCTTCCCAAATTCGGACTACCTCCCCACCTGCCTGCTCTGCCCCTGCCACGCCTCCAAAGAGCTATCACCTTCCATGCCCTGCACTCAGTCCCTCCTCAGGCAAACTCAGAACCCCCACCCCATCGGGCTCCATCTTAAGAGCTGTGCAGCCTGGGGCACAGAGCCCGAGTGGGGACATGCCCCATAAGCTAATCAAGGAGATAAAGTGGGGTCAGTGCATTCACGGCGGGTTCAGAAGCTCCCTCCTCTGCGCAGTGTACTGTGTACTACTGTGTACAAGTGCGCCCGCTAGCCCTCCATCCCCAGGATGCTCACAGTTCTAGGATACCCCTCCCCAGTATACAGCAGTGCACTGTATTATAATTACCGTAGGTGGTACGCGGGTCCACAGTTTCCCCAATGAGCCCCAGTCCGCCCTTGCTGACCTCAGTCCACAGGCCCTGGGACAGAGCAGGCACTCAACAGGATGCATAAGAAGGGCTCAAAGGGCTCAGTAAGCTACTCCTTGCCCCAGAGAGCCCAGCGCGCTCTCCCACTCCTGACCAGTCCCGGGCTCCTGGACTCAGGGCAGGAAAGTTCTGCTCTCATCTGATGGCTTCCTCACCCAGGTAGCAAACACAGGTGCACTTTCTTTAGGATTCAGTGACCCTGCAAGAAATCTAGTGGTACCCCGTCCAGAACACAGTGTGGAGGCAGAAGGGAGGGGTTGTCCTTGAAAGGGCAAATGTCTTCTGCTCCAGCCACTCACATTTTCTCTAGACAGAGCAGCTCTTTAGAAGCCTGACTCAAAACAGCTTTGGGGTGTGGATTTTACTCCCCACAGGGCGTCGTTACCACAGGGACCGTTTTTCCTCTTGGAATTCTTTCAAGAGTACAAGCTGTTGCTTCCCTCCAAAACAAACCCAGGGAAAAGCCAGGGCACCTGGGGTTAAGGGAAGAGCCCCGGAGGAAGCAGGGCCAGACAGGACCCAGCCACATGGAGCTCTCCAGTGGGGTCTCCTGAAACTCTGCAATGGCGCAGAAATGCCAAGTCCCTCCCAGCTGCTTCGGGTGTGTGTATGGGGGGGGGGGGTTGCTGAGGGTATGGTGGGGTTGTGAGTATGGGGGGTTGTGTGTGCGTGTGTAGGGGTGGGTGGAGGGTGCTGGGGGCTGGATGTATAGTGGGAGTGGCTGTGTGGTGTGTGGGGATTGGAGAGTGGGCAGGTATGTGTATCCATACTTGCGCTGGAGGTGGCTTTGGGGGCGTGTGGGGAACATGTGAGGGACATGTGGGGAAACGTGTGGGTGTGGGTTGGGGAAGTGTTCCCCGCTATCCTGAGGTGAAACATGGGTCACATTTTCCCCTGAAACAAGAACATGAACTGCATTTCGAAACTGCATTATAATACTTAGTACTACAGATCAACCACATCCTGGTCCAGATGTCTACAGCGGTCCATTTACAACATACAGCTCAAGGCTGAAACAAGTGACCTAGAAGCAATTGTTTGAGACAACTCGGATTTCTAGTCAGAACACCCCTGGTCAGTTGGTCCAGGGCCTGGACGGCAGAGCCAAGAGGCTCTAGAGGAACTGGCGGGGCGGGTCCCTGCCTTCCCTGCAAGTCCGCGGTAAGTCCTCTGGTGGCGCACAAAGCGTAGGGGGGCTCAGGGTCCCAGGACACAGAATACCCCGTATGGGGCCACTGCCACGGGCACTCGGAAATGTCTGAATGCTTTGTTAGGTAAGTTTAAGAGTTATCCCTGCCTACAAGGAGCTGCCCGTCTACTGTGCTGGACTGAGTAACATCCCCACAAAAGGAGGAAAAAAAGAAAGCCACTACACTACTCTTACTACTTTTATAATAACTACAATGATTATCAAGATGTTGTGGGAGGTCAGCAGTATTATCAAGGATGCTGCGTGCCAAACATTCACAAGAAAACAGTCTTCTTTCTAAAAAACAAGTGCCAAATAATAGTGCTGAGTCACCGATACCCACATTGGGGGGATCTTGATGCCTACCTCACACCACGCAAAGATAAATTCCGGATGGACTGGGGGCGCCTGGGTGGCTCAGTTGGTTAAGCGTCTGCCTTGGGCTCAGGTCATGATCCCAGGGTCCTGGGATGGAGGTCCCAGTTGGGCTCCCTGCTCAGCGGGGTGCCTGCGTCTCCCTCTCCAGCTCCCCCTGCTTGTGGTCTGTCTCTCTCTCTCTCTCAAATAAATAAATAAACAAAATCTTAAAAAAAAAAAAAATTCCAGATGGACTAGAAATCTAAAGGTGAAAAGTAAGACAATAAAACTTCTACAATAGAAAAAGTAAAACACGAAATCAGAGAGGGAGACAACCCATAAGAGGCTCTTAATCATAGGAAACAAACTGAGGGTTGCTAGAGGGGAGGGAGGTGGGGGGATGGGGTAACTGGGTGATGGACATTAAGGAGGGCAAATGATGTAATGAGCACTGGGTATTATATAAAACTAATGAATCACTGATCTCTACCTCTGAAACTAATAATACATTTTATGTTAATTAATTGAATTTAGATTAAAAAATGTTTAAAAAAAAACAACTTCTAGAATATAACATAAGAGAATGTCATCATGACCTAGGAGTATGCAACTATTTCCCTAAGCAGACCACAGAAGATATTCAAGAAAAAAAAAAAACCCTGATGAACTGGATTACATAAAAATAAAGAACTTCTTTTGTTCACCAAAGAATGCAATTAAAAGCGTGAAGAATCAAGGCCCAGAAGGGGAGAAAATGCAATACATATACGGAACAAAGCACTTACCCAGGTCTCAAAGAACACCTAGAAATTAACAGGAAAAAGTGTCAGGCAACCCAACAAAAATGGACAGGAGGCAAAAAGGCTTGAGCAGGTACTTCACATAAACATATGAAAAGACACTCAACAGCATCAGTTAGGAAGGGAATGCAAATTTAAAACACAAAGGGATAACCGCTACACCTCCACCAGCAGGGCCAACTTGGAAAAGACTAACGAGGGCTGGAGCGCTGGAGAGGAACTCTCATTCACTGCCGGTGGGAGTGTGGACCGGTACGGCCACTGGGAGAGCTGTATGGCAGTGTCTCCCCTATGACCTAGCAATTCTACTCCTAGGGATATACCCAGCAGATAGACGTACACGTGTTCACCAACACGTGGACAAGACCGGAAATAGAAAATTATGGCTCCAGCCTGAAAATGTAGAGTAGGATGGATCTAATGTGGTATGCTCACACAATGGAATACCGGACAGCAGGAAGAATGAACTGATGGCCACATCCAATGGCTCACAGACACAATAATGAATAAAAGAAGCCAGATCCCAGAAGAGTACGTAGTGTATGATTCCATTCACCTAAGGTTTGAAAGAAAAGCCGACCTCTGGTGTTAGAAGTCCCAAGTGATTACTCCTGGGGCACGAGCACCTGGGCAGGGAGCAGGGAGGGGGGAAGCAGGGATACTGCCGCGTTCCTTGATCTGAATGACTGATGACATTGTGGGTTTGCTTAGTAAAAATCACCGGGCTGATGTATCTACTTGTCTCTATGTACAGTATACCTCAATTGAAAAGGGAAGTTTTCTTTATGCCACAACAGAGTTGTTAAAAAACAGAATTTAAGCCCATGTAGAAACCAAAATTACTAAAATCTAAAGAGAGGACGAATTCTGTCTCAAGGACAGTAAGAAGTCAGTCCTCAAAGAGGGGAAGACCTCAGGACCCCAAAGCACACCCAGAAGACAGCTACTTGGAGGGAAGCAGGGTCCCTCCCGCCCTCCTGGCTCTAGGAAACAGGCGATAACACAGAGAGATTCGCCATCAAGGTCACAAAAATTCTTCTGTCGCAAAAGCTAACAGATTAAAAACCAGCTTGAATTTCAAGATTCCTTTGCTTTCCAATTCCCTGTCCCCGATCAGTGAGGCCTTGCAAACAGCTTGTTAGGTCTTGTCACAGGAGTCACTTAAAGGAGAAGATGAGGCCCCGACAGCATGTCAGGAGCGGAGCAAGAAAAGACATTGCCTCATGGCCTCCTGTCCAGAGGTGCTTCAGGCAGCTGCCTCGGCCATCATAGGCAAGCTAAATAGTGAAAGATCCAGAAGAGCATGCATCTGCCTCGAGAAGCCCTGCCCTCTGAGGGAAACTGAGAGAGAGGCCCACCCCTAGCCCAGGCGGGTAGGTTCTCCCCAGGAGAGGAGACCAGCTGAAGGGAAGGCCCTTTTCCCTTCACTGCAACCCACTGCAGGGCCCTCCCTGCCCAGCTCCAGGGGCAGCCAGCGCCACAGGGACAGCGCCCTGGGACTCAGCCAGGAGGTATGGGGCTCCCGAAGCGCCCAGCTCCGGGGAGGGGACCAAGGGGGTGGGCCCTGCGGGATATTGGCTAGGTCTCCGCTGTCACATCTGTAAAATAAAGGGGCTCTCCCCAGAGGTAAAATGAAAGAAGAGCAGGAAGAATAAGTGCACATGCGTACTTTTCGCTTCTCAACTTCCTGCGCGCACCATCGCCCTTCATCTTCGTCCTGGGAGGCAGGGGTTACTGTGGCCACTTCTGGCCGAAGACTCGTAAGGCTCAGGAGCACGAAGAGCCTCATCTACCTACTGGTCCCAGAGTCAGTGGAGCTGGGTGGCAAAAGCCACCCGTGCAGCAGTCCCCAGTGCAAGGAACGGTGAGTGAAGCCGCCGGCCTGCCTCAGGGGCAGGATTCAGCTCATGTGGGAACAGCCCACCTGCAGGGAAGGGGGCAGGGATGAATCCAACACAGCCTGGGAGCACTCCAACACAGGGAGGGAGCCCTGCAACACAGCGGGGAGCCCTGTAACACAGCGGGGGAGCACTCCAACACAGGGAAGGAGCCCTGCAACACAGCGGGGGAGCACTCCAACACGGAGGGAGCCCTGCAACACAGCGGGGGAGCACTCCAACACAGGGAAGGAGCCTGCAACACAGCCCGGGAGCACTCCAACACGGAGGGAGCCCTGCAACACAGCAGGGGAGCACTCCAACACACGGAGGGAGCACTACCATGCTGGGCCAGCCCACACAGCAAAGCCACAAGAGCACCGCCCGCGGCCTAGTGCTGCCTCTCCTGAGATCACTGAGCCTCACAAGTGAGGGCTGCTGAGGCCTCAAAGCAGTGCGAAGGCCCACTTCACAGTGCAGCTGTGGCTGGGACCCCAGTGGCACCTTCCCCTCCGCACACGCTGCCTGCAAACAGTTGGACCCAGCTCGCCGCCCCAAACCCACTCCAGTCCTCACCCGGCTTCTCTCAGCCCTGCTGCCCCCCGCCCCAAGATTCCTCTTCCCCTTCCTCCTGCATACTGCAGAGCGAGGCCTTGGGCGCCGTCTGTCCCCGCAGTCCCCCTGTCTGCTGTCTAAACCCTGTCCCCAGGGGACTCATCTGGCCCCAGGGCTTCAGATCCTACCCACACAAACTTCTGCTTGCAGTCCCGACGCCTGCCTGATAGGCCCAATGTGGCCCACACCAGACTCCTGGTTCCCCTTCAAAAACCACTCTCCCTGCACCTCTCATCTCAGGAGCGGGCCCCGCCTGCCCCCGAGCCCACCTGCCGAGACATCCTGTAACCCTGAGTGCCGATGCCTCACAGCTGAACCAATTCAGCAGCCTCCCGCCTCCGCACACACTGAGGGCAGGAACCAGCACTCAGGCCTCCAATGGCTCCCCAGCCCCTCTGGAGTGAGGAGGTTTTGCCCCTGTGGCCCCAGCCTGCCAGGGCCATGCTACCCCCATCCCCACCCTACCCCCCAACCCTTCACTTGACACCTGCCATGAAGGGGTTCCTTCTCTCCCTCAAACAAGCCAAGCTAGTTCTCCGCTCAGCTTAGAATGCTCCTCCCCAGATCTGGCATCCCAACCCTCCCCCGCAACCACCACCATCTCCAACCTCCCACTCAGAGCGGCCTTCCTGTCTTAGGGCAGTTGCCCCGGCCCTCCTTCAACACATGCACACACCCACCCCAGCACTCACAAGTTCCTGACACTCTCTTCCCTGTTCACAGGTATACACTGTCTACCTGCCCCTCCCATGGAAGCCCCTCAAGGCAGCGAGGCGGTCTGATTCACAATCTGGATCTCCAGGCCTGGCACACAACAGATGCTCAATAAATACTTGTTTGATGGCTGGTTGCAGAGTTCCCACAGTGAGGATGAGCACCGAATGCTCCAGGGAAAGGAGAGATGTTTTACTTCCTTTTGTCAAGGGAGAAATGTCAAGGAAGTGATTAGAGACTTGCAGAAAAATGAATCATCTGCGTATCTTTAAAAATGCATGATTTCCAGGCTCCCTACCAAGATCCCAACAGGAGATCTGGGGTGGAGCCAGAGAAAAGAATGTACATTGTCGCCCCAGGTGATCCTGACACACAGGTAGGTCTGAGAACCTCGGACTGATCCAACATCTTCATTTCACACATGAACAAGTTGAGGCCCTCCAAAGGGATGACTCAATGAGAAGTTGCAACACTGGTTCCTCAACAGGTGTCTATGTTTGGGAGTCCCAAACTTCCCATCCACGAGGTTCTCCCTCTCACTGGCTCCCAGACCTCAGGGTCTGAGCAGAGCTCGGGAAGAGGTCAGTCCTTGGGAAGAATGGGGAACACATACCCCACCTCGGCTGAGGCTCTGCAAATCCACTTTTCTGTTAATCTAACACGTTGCACTACAAGTGAATTCCACCTTCAAGGAAGCAGGGCTAGGCTGAGGAAAGCCGGTGACCAGCAAGATGTCCTCTTTTTTCCCCTTGGAAACAGGGTCAGCTCCACCCACTGTCACCCAGTAGGGAGGGCTGGAGGACCACCCAGACTTCCTCACTTCAACAGGGTGGGCGAGACAAGACACATGTCTACGTTTATAGAAGGCCCATGGGCAAGACCTTGAACTAGCCACTTCACAGACATCTTTCCCTATTCTTCCAGCTACTGATGAGGTCAGAAGACTTTTACAGACAAGGCTAGGGAGGTATAGAGTTTTAAAGACCTACTCGGGGTCCCACCGATGGGATGAATGGAGCTGAGACTTAAACCAGATCCATCCGGCTCTAAAGCCCATGCTCTCCACTACGCCACCCAGCACCCACCAGGCAGCCCGATGGCAGTTTCTGAGTGGGACACGGGAAGAAGACCCCGTCCTGGGGGCTGCTTCTTCCCAAGCACCTGGGCATGACAAGTGGAGAGGGATACAGGGCCCAGGGCTTAAGGGACCATCTTGGGTCGGCAACATCCCAAAGCACAGCCACGAGAGGTCCCTTCAGCCCAGGCTTCCTGGTCTATTAAACAGGGATAAACTGTTTTAAACCCACCTCAAAGCGCTGCTTCTGGATTGAGCAAATCATGAGATCCCATCACAAAATGCCATGTAAATGTCAGGAGGGCTGACCTGTAAGAGGCTGTCAACACAGGGGCAGTGACCCTCCGCTGACTTGGACATCAGGCTGCTGGGCATGGGGACATAGCTGCATGTGGCCAGGTCAGAGGCAACTTCCTGAGGGATGAGCAGGACATGGACCAGTCTGACTCCGCACCCAGAACACTGGGCGCCTCTCCACCCCCACCTCCCCACACCTCACTGCCCCTTCCTCTCTGCCCCCCAAACAGTTGTCAGCCCTTCCCTCCAGCACCCCCTTCCACCCTCAGCCCACAGTGGCCAAGCCTCTCCCCAGTGCACCCAAGTTCCGAGACTATCGATGAGCTCCCCTCCACCCTGGCACTGCCCCCACTCTCCAGACTGCCCGTTTCTCGAGTGTATAGATCATAACAGTCAGCATTTAGCTCCACCGGATGCACACACAGAAGGCCAGAAATAAGCACCTGCCAGAGACACTGGCCATGAAGACTGACTATTTCGAAGCCCTCTGCTCTAGCTTCGAGGCCCTAGGCTCCCCAAGGCTGAGCTCGTGGTCGTCTGGGTTTCCACCTACCCTCTCCTTAACAGCTCTCAAGAAATGAGAGTTCAGGCAGAAATAGTCTCTTACAAGCTAGGCAGGAGGGAGCAAGGTCTCCAGAGACGCACTGTCCAGTGAGGCAACCCTAAGTCAAGTGTGGCTGTTTAAATATAAAATAATTAAAATGGAATTAAGTAAAACATCACGTTGGTCACATTTTTCAAGGGCTCAAGAGCCACACGTGGCTCCTAGCCGTGGTACCGGGCAGCACGGATTCTATGCAGAACTGCACAGCACTGCCCTGGTCCTGAGAAGCAGGTGAGAAACAGGAACTGCTGCACAGCCTGCAAGCTCACAGCCAGAACCTGCTCCAGAGCTCAGGCGCAACCCCGGAGGGGCTGGGGACAACCACCCGCCCTGTCCTTCCAGGGCGCAAAGAAACAGCCCAATCCAGGCTAGATGCTGGCGAAAGCCCACAGCCAAGGGCAAGTGTTTGTGCCAAGTTAACAACCTTTAGAAGCCTCCTCTGGCTGCCGAGAAAGAGGTCAGAACAGGATGAAGTGGCCTCACACTGCCCTACTGGGCAGGACTGTAGAGAGAGGCCCCAGAGCTTCGTCTACACAGCCTGGGATGGTTCCCCTACTCACGCAGCTTGGAAGTTCTGGATGAGCATCAAGAAATGAGGTTCAAATACAACACAGATGTATGGGTGGCTGCCCTCCCCGCTGCAAGGCCAGGCTCCTGCAGAACTTGGCCACCAAGCACCCAGCAGCACTTTCAGATCTCACCCCTACCCCAATCACTGCCAACTGCTTGCTGTCAAACCCTCTGGAGCATCCCTGACTGTCCCCTCTGTGCTCACCGAATGTTCCCACCTCCGAGCTGCTCCCCTGGAATACTCCTTTCCAGCTACTTCAATATGCGCTTCCCGGTCCCATCCTCCACGGTGCGGCCCAAATTCCACTCTGCCTTCTCATGAAGCGTCCCAGGCCTAGCCCGGCTTTCCCAGGAAATGACGGCCAGCAGGACAGTCTAACAGCCTATGTGCTCTTCCCACCTATCATGGGGCTGGCTCACCTCCAGGCATGCTGCACCCTGCAGAGACTCCCCCTCCTCCAGGGGGCTAAGCGTGCAGGAATCCAGAAGTCACTTATGCTCCTTGACCTTGGGCATCCCAGCACCTGGGAACCTCATGGCTTACGCCCTCACAAATCAGTCAGGTGGGCCGGCATGGAAGTACCCTGTAAAACTGCCAGCCACACAGCTACAACCGAATGTCACTGCGGAATGAAGTGTGGAAACCCTACAACCCGGATCTTGTCTCCCCATTTGTCACAATGTCAGGATTGGCTCCTCCAGACGATCACTAAATTGAGTTCAGAGTCGGGTGCGGGGAGGAGAGGAAGCTAACACCATGAGGGAAATCAACCCCGAGCATGAGATCTTCATGTCTCCAGCAAAACCATGAGCGTGGTAGGCATCAGCGAGGGAGGGGCCGTCCCCCTGGGGCAGACAGGGACACCCCAGTGGCAGGGGCGGGTTGAGAAAGTGCTGGACCCTGGAGTCCATCCTGCAGGGGTCTCATCTTCACATCAGACGACAGAGCTAAAAGTGGGGAGCCCCTTCCATCCGAGGGCTGTCTGCCCATAGCAGGCCGGCCTTACTTCCTCTCCAGCCTCCCCACTCATTGGTCTCCCAAGAAATGACCGGGCTGGAAAAGTAACTCGAACTTGAGACCTTTGACTGTCTTTCTCTCAGGCACTGACCCTAACAGAAACATCACTCAGGAACTACAGAGATTAAATATGACGCAAAAAGCACTCTTACGAGAAAAAACAGGTAACTTGGGCTTCTCCAAAATTAAAAAAAACCTTTGGGGATCAAAGGACACTACCAAGAGAATGAAAAGACAGCCCACAGAATGGGGAAAAAAAAATACCCGGAAGTCCCCTATTTAATAACAGTTTAATATCCAGAATACATAAAGAATTCAACTACAACTCAACAAGAGAAAGACAAACGACCCGATGGAAAAATGGGCAAAGGATGTGAATAAATATTTCTCCAAAAAACATATACGAATGGCAAATAAGCACATGATTAGATGCTCAACAGCACTTATCATCAGGGAAATGCAAATCAAAACCCCACTGAGATACCACTTCACACCTACTAGGATAGCTATAATTTTCTTTTTTATTTTTAAAGAAAGGCAGACTGCCGGATGCCTGGGTGGCTCAGTTGGTTAAGCGACTGCCTTCAGCTCAGGTCATGATCCTGGAGTCCCGGGATCGAGTCCCGCATCAGGCTCCCTGCTCAGCAGGGAGTCTGCTTCTCCCTCTGGCCCTCTTAACTCTCGTGCTCTCTCTCTCTCATTCTCTCTCTCTCAAATAAATAAAATCTTTAGAAAAAAAAAGAAAGAAAGGCAGACTGCCACATGCAGCACCTCATTTGGATGTGTCTGGAATCTTAGAAGCTTGACTACCTACCCTACATTCTCCTACAAATGGACCTTGAGAGCTTGTCTGGAGGTTCCAGCAGGGAAGCACAGCTAACTCGTACACCCTTGACGGAAGAATGGTCCTCCTCTATCGGAAAAGGTCATCTTCTTCCACCAAGCACGCAGTTTTGGGAGGGATGGCAGATGAAGCAGTGAGGGAGGAAGGAGATGCCAGCCTAGCCAGCCAGAAGAGCCCATCAGCCCTGCCAATCAATGGGGTGACAGATGTTGCAGCCAGATCACCGCCCCCCCACATCCTGTAATTTTTTTCTTTTTTAAAAGCAGGCTCCATGCCCAGCATGGAACCCAACACCAGGGTTTGAATTCACAACACTGAGATCAAGACCTGAGCTGAAATCAAGAGTTAGACGCTTAACCAACTGAGCCACCCAGGTGCCCCCATCCCATAAAAGAAAAATAAGTGTTGGGCAAGGCTGTAGGGGAACTGGAACCCGCATGCACTGCTGGTGGTAGTGGAAAATGTACAGCCGCTGTGGCAAACTGTTTGGTGATTCCTCCAAAAGTTAAAGATAGAATTGCTATATGACCCAGCAATTCCATTCTTCCTATACATATCCAAAAGAACTGAAAACACACTCTCAAATAACACTTGTAAGCCAATAAGTACACCAGCCCATGCCAATGACAGCATTAGTCACAATAGCCAACAGGTGTCCATCAACAGAACATCCACTGCATATGGTATAATACGTACGTATTATTTCAGCCTTAAAAAGGAATGAAATTCTCTTACACGCTAGAACGTGAACGAACCCTGAAAACTTATGCTTATGCCAAGTGAAGTAAGCCAAACACAAAAGGACAAATACTGTAAGATTCCACTTACATGAGGTACTTGGAATGGGCAAACTCCTGGAGACAGAAAGTAGACTAGAGGCTGCAGGGGCCTGGGGTAAGATTAACAGGCAGTCACTGCTTGATGGGGGTAGAGTTTCTGTTTGAGGTGATGAAAAAGTTTTGGAAATACTGGTGATGGTTGCACAACATTGTAAACATACTAATGCTACTGATAAATGCTTAAATGGAAAATTTTATGTTATATGTATTTCATCATTAAAAAAACAAAACCAAACAAAATGGTGGCAAATAAGGGCATCCTCATCAGGGGAAAGGAGGACCAGAATCAGGATCCAGAGGGGATTAAGACATGCACATCAGGGCAGACTGACTTGGGGCCTATACTCTTTTTCCACCGTTGTTTTTTGTTCTGTTTTGTTTTTGAGCGCGTAACTCACAAAACCAAAAGGTAGTAGAACGTATACAACTGGTTTATCCAGCTTCTCCCCTACCTTGCATCTGGGCAACCAGTCCAAGTCAGTACATAACGAGAGTCACCACCTGTTCCCATGGCCTCTCCTAACCTAACACTCACTTGGGATACCTCCGAGCCATGTGACCTTAGGCAAACCACCTCATATTTACTAGCCTCAGTGCTTCCACCTATAAATTAAGCCTCCTCCTTCGTTCTCAGGGTTGCCATCAAGACCTAGATAAGATAAAGCAGGCAGCTGGCATCATTTCCAAAACACTGTTGTCCTGAATAAAGAAAATTAAACCGTTACGTGCTACAGAGAAAAACAGGAGCACTATGCACTCCCCATCTCACTCTCCTTCCTTCCCTTTCTTGCACCTTCTCTAACACTGCGTGTGTTGCCTGACTGTCTCTCCAGCTAACTGCAAGCTGCCTGGGGCAGAGACTTCCATCTGCTTTGTTCTCTGCTATACCTCTGGTGCCTAATGACTGGCACAAAGGACGTACCCAGTACACATCTACTGAAGGAACGAATTACCAGCTCCAATAACCCATTTTGAACGAAGCCAAACAACACTTCATCACCTGCCACTGATCCACCCACTGACACCACAGCCTGGTAACTGAAGAGTCAACAAAAAATTCTAACTTCCCCTTTGCAAGAAATGGACTAAAGAAAGTAGAAAAATCAGGAGCTCCTGGATAGGAAAGATGCACCAGGAAAGAAAAAGGCTTCCAATGGAGCAAGAACGTGGCTTCACAATAACTCTTCCTTAAGAAGAATAAAAGGGGGCGCCTGGGTGGCTCAGTTGTTAAGCGTCTGCCTTCGGCTCAGGTCATGATCCCAGGGTCCTGGGATCGAGTCCCACATCGGGCTCCCCGCTCAGCGGGAGGCCTGCTTCTCCCTCTCCCACTCCCCCTGCTTGTGTTCCTGCTCTCCCTGTCTCTGTCAAATAAATAAATAAAATCTTAAAAAAAAAAAAAAAGAATAAAAGGAAACTCCAAAGGCCAGTGAACTCTCATTTCCAAGAGAGAAGCCATGTGATTTCCGACTGCACATTTTTTAGAAATGAGTTTACGGCCAAGAGCTTTCTGAAGCCAGAAATGTGAAGATTAAACCCAATTAAATTAGCAATCAATATACCAACAAATTGGAAAATCTACATGAAATGGGCAAATTCCTAGAAACACACAACGTACCTAAACTGACTCATGAAGAAATAAAAAATTTAAATACATCTATAAATGGTAAGGAAACTGACTAAGTAATCGAAACCCTCCCAACAAAAAAAAAGCCCAGAGCCAGAGAGTTTTACTGGTTAATTCTACCAAACATTTAAAGAAAAAATAATACCAATTCTTTTCAAACTCTTCCAAAAAATTGAAGAGGAGGGAATACTTCCTAACTCATTTTATGAGTTCAGAATTACCCTGATTCCAAAGCCACACACACTACAAGAAAAGTACAAACTCATATCCCCCATGACCACAGATGCAAAAATCCTCAACAAAATACTAACAAACTGAATCCAGCAAGGACCAAGGACCAGGGGGAATTTACTCCCGCAATGCAAAAACGGTTCAACACACAAAAACCAATTAACGCAATACAATAATAGGATGGGGGGGGGAAATCACATGATCATCTCGATTGATGAGCAAAAGACTGTATTAGACATCTACATTATACCCTACATAAAAATTAACTCAGAATGGATCAAAGACCTAAAAATAAGAGCTAAGAATATAAAACTCTCCTGGAAGAAAACATGGGGAAAAAATCTTCAGGATCCAAGGTTTGATAATGGTTCATTAGGTATGATACCAAAAGCAGGATGAACAAAAGAAAAAATAAATTGGACTTTATCAAAATTAAGAACTTTGTGCTTCAAAGGACATTACTGGGAAAGTGAAAAGACAACCTTGGAATTGGGAGAAAATATTTGCAAATCCTGTATCTGATAGGGGGTTAATATTCAGAATATATTAAGAACTCCTACAACTCAACAACAACAAAAGTCAATTAAAAAACGGGCAAAGGGGCGCCTGGGTGGGTCAGTCGGTTAAGCGACGGACTCCTGGTTTTGGCTCAGATCATGATCTCACGGATTGTGGCTCCATGCTCAGCAGGGAGTCTGCTTGAATATTCTCTCCCTCTGCCCCTCCCCCACTTGTATGTGTGCGTGCACATGAGTGTGAACTCTCTCCCTCCCCCAAATAAATAAATCTTAAAAAAAAAAAAAAATAGGCAAAGGACCTGAACAGACATTTCTCCAAAAAAGATATACAAATAGCCATAGGCATATGAGAAGATGCTCAACATCACTCACTAATCACTATGGAAATGCACATCAAAACTACAATGTGATACCATTTCACACCCGATAGGATGGCTATGATCAACAAAACAGAAAATAACAAGTGTTGACAAGGATGTGGAAAAACTAGCATCCACTCCACTGCGGCTGGAAACGTACAATGATGCGGCTACTGTGGAAAACAGCATGGCAGTTCCTTCAAAGGTTAAACGCAGAATTGCTATATAATCCAAAAATTCCACTTCTGGGTTCATACCCAAAAGAACTGAAAACAGAGACTCAAACAGGTATTTATACATTCATTACAACAGCCAAAAAGTTAGAAGCAACCCAAAATGAAAAGATAAAATGTGGTATAGTACAAAGGAGTATTATCCAGCTTTAAAAAAGAATGCAATTTCACATATGCTACAACATCGATAAACCTTAAAAATGTTACGCTGAGTGAAATAACTCAGTCAAAAAAAGTCAAATACTGTATGATTCTACTTATATAACATACCTAAAAGTAGTCAAATAGAATGGTGGTTGTCAGGGGCGAGGGTGGGAGGGGAATGGGGAATTACTGTTTAATGGGTACAGAATTTACATGTGGGATGATGAAAAAGCTCTGGACACAGTGGTACAGTTATATAACATTATGAACGTATTTCAAAAGGTAGACTTTATGTTAGATATATTCTGCCACAATAAAGAAAAAAAAACAACAATCAGGCCATATTTTCAGCCCATTAAAAGAATCCCTCATTAAAGGCCAGTTCTCCTGATGGCCTGGGCATCCTTCCCAGGGCAACGAGCCTTGAGGATGCTATGTTGTCCTTTGTATTCTGACCTCAAGACCAGTCCCAGTAATCTGGGCCCCAAATCTAAGCCAAGAGCACAGGTTGGCCAGCCACTGAAAAACTGAGGCTTGAGCTTCCCTAGGCCAGGCAGTTTTTGAGCAGAACCGTCTGACAGGGCCAACAAGTTGCCAACAAAAGCAGAAGCCAAATCTGGCTAGTTTTCACTCTCTATTACTTCCCCTTTCACTTTCCCACAGGATGGCCATGCACAAAGGAAACGGGCCAGACTGACCAGCCTGACTCTTTAAAGGTGGAAAGTTGAGTCCCTGTTTTCCCCCATTCACCGAAGGTCTAGATATTTACTATCCTTTATATTTTGTAGAATTAATAGTTTTTGCTCATCCAACAAGAGCAGAAATGACAAGCTCCACCCTCTGTGGTCTCTAGTGCCCTTTCACAGATGACCCTGTCAGATCTCAAAATAACCCAGTGAGAATTAATATAGAGGGATTGTTATCCTCCACTGCAGACATGAAGAAACAGGCTCAAGGAGATGAAGCAATTTGTCCCAAGTCCCACGGCCCCAAGTGACAGGGCCAGGGTTTGCACACAGGTACTGAACTTCGGAGTTCTCCTTCCTCTTGACTACTCGGACAGATCAGAGGTGGAAATGGAATCGGACCATTTTAGTGTCAAACAAAAGCAAGGAAGATGCTTCCAAGTTTGGTAACTAATAGGACTCGGAGGTCCATCCCCAGAGAAGTAGCCTGGGAAGAACTAAGTGCCCTGCTCTTTCCCTGAGGTGCACCCTGACCTAGAAATGGGTCTTTCTTTCGGACTTTCGTACTCAACGATTCCAGCTGGGCGCTCAGAGCACCGTCCCGTACTGCCCTGCCGAAGGCGCGCTGGAGGACAGGGGAGGGTCTGCCAGGTGCACTGAATTTCACCAGGTTGGAAGGCCGGCTGGGTCCTGGGGAAAGGGGGTGATTCAGGGCGCTCATAGGCGAAACACCCGACGGTAGCCAAAAAGCGCGTAAGGCGCTAACCACTGCCCACCCCGCCCCGCGCGTGCGCGGCGACGGCACCGGCGCCGAAAGATTCCCAGCCCGCCAGCAAGCACACTGGGGGGGCGGGCTCCGACTCCTCGCGCAAGCGCCACCCGCGCGCGCATGCGCGCCCTCAGCACCTGCCTTTTCCTAGTAGTCCCCTGTTCTCTCGTCCCTGTTCTGTTTCCGAACATTGGCTACCTCAGTCACAGTCCTCACTCTGCATTCCTCACCTTGCGCCCGGTTTTTTCCCGTAGGGCTTTCAGCCGTTCCTTTCGCCGCAACGCCTCTTCCTCTAGCCGGCCCACACCAGCCGCAGTAGCCGCCATCTTGCCCACCCTCCTCTTCTCTCGTCCTGCATCGCGCAGGCCCAGGGAGTAGATGACTCTCTGGCGGCCAATCCAGGGACGAGAACGGGAGAACAGGAAGTCGTGAAAGCCAATCAATACTGAGTTGCTAGAGGAGGGCCCGCCCTACCTCTCCCAGCAACTCGCCTCGCCTGGTGGGGGAGGGCGTGGCAAAGAAAAAGGCCGTAAGGCTCGATTCGTCCAATGCCAATCAGTGAGAAAGCTGCGAGTAGAATCAGACCTGAGTGAAGGAGGATAGAGCGCGTCGATCGCTCTGCTTTTGCCTCAGCAAGCGCCAACCACAGCTCGTTCCCTGCGGGCCGCTTGGAAAGCGCTTGGCCCAGCCTTGTCCCCTTGTCCTGATTCTTCAAGGCCTGAATGCTTTCAAGAAGTCTTCCCTGACCCTACACTCCGATCCCAGTTCAATACAAGATCTGCCTTTCTTCCTCTACAGGTACCAGTGACTCCCTGGATGCACTGGTTCATGGGCCCCTAGGCCCTCTGTGTCCACTCTCAGCTCAGATAAAGCTGTGCGGTGCAGGGCTTGGCTGGATGGCCATGTCCTCCAGGCTCATGGACGAGCCCCTCCCACCTCCAAGCCCCCTGAAGCAGCAAAGTACTCAGGGTCAGACTACCTAACCTGGAGAAGAACAAACCCCCAACCCGGGCCCAGTGGGCCCCAGGAACCCCCTGAGCTTAGTTCCAGAGAACTACTGAGAGTTGACTTGGCCTTGACTGCAACAGGCGGCAAAGAGGTGCACTGCTCGCCGGCAGGGGCTGCCAGGGTCTTCTTTCCTGTGTTAACCAGCATGCCCCAACAACCAGGAGACCACTCTGGCTGAAGTTAAGACCTTCTGACAGGATGTCAGGGTCCCCAAAGCCACACAGAGGCCTCCTTCCCCCGCCAACACATACCATGACTCGTCTCTCAGCAAAGCTGTTTCCTGCCTGGGGCCTCCCTTCCCAGGCTGGTAGCAGGTGGATGCCCACTCCTCCCACTTCCCTTCAGAGGCCCCTGTGCCATAAGACCTCTGTCCAGCCCCTCCAAAACGACCCTCCTGACCTCACTAGCCGGGGCCTTTCGGTGCCCTGTTCCCCTGCATCCGGAGGGGTGACTTACCAGAACCTGTACCAGGATCACAGGTAGTACCAGGTAGTAGGTGCTCAGGAAATGTCAGCTCAGAGGTAGGATGGACAGGGCAGGAAAAAAGGCCAGAGTGGAGAGGCTGCCCAAGAAAAAGTCAGGAGGATGGAAAAGGATGGGAATGGGGAAAGAGTCTGTTTTCTCTTGGCCAAGGTCTGAGGGACTCCAGACTCCAGTTCCTCTAACTTACAGCACCTTTCTGGGCTCCACAAACTTCTCCCCAACTCCAACACAGGGCCTGACCCCTGCCCAACACCGGGGCGGGGGTGGGGGGGCCCTCACCTCCCAGGCAGGCTGGTTGGGGGGGCAGGGAGAGATCCAGGGGGTGATGGTGGCAGTGGGCCAGCAAAGAGCCAGTCAGGCCTCCATCCCTGCGCGCGCTGTCCCCGGCTACCCACGGGATTCTCATTTGGCCCATCTGGGCTTCAATTTCTCCATCTGTAAAACTGAGGCACGAGACATCCTCTTGCCTTTAGCCTCTTGAGGTTAAAGAAAACAAAAGATGTGAAGACAAATGCTGGGCCCTAGAGTGGAGGATGCCTCTACTGGAGAATCTGGGAGGCTTCTTGGAAGAGGGGACCCGTGAGGATTGCCTAAATCTCCCAGGGATCTGCAGGGCAGACGAAGGGCACTGCTCTCTGATGTCCCCCCTCCTGCTCCACAAACAGTAAGAGCAAAAACGTGGCAGTCGGTCTCTGCATTAAAACGCTTAGAACAGCACCAGGCACGTGGTAAACTCTACAGGTGGCCGCGGCTTGTCGTTACCATTTGTTGAAGGACTCTGGCCATCTGAACGCGGCCCGGAGCCCCTGCCCCCCGACCCGGAGACCCCATTCTTGCACGAAGGGTGGCAATTCCAGGCAGGCGCACTGTGCGGCGGGCAAGCCTGGAATACCTGACCCCGACCCTCGTCCGGGAGGCTCGGACCGGCCCTTCCCGAGGCACCGTCGCGGGCGCGGACTGCTGAGGGCGGGACTGCGGGGCGCCCTCCCGGGCCGCCCTGACCTCAAGCTCCTCCTCCCTCCGGGCTCCCCGCCCTGTGCACGGTCCCAGGAGAGGCGGGGCGGTGGTAGCGGCAGCTAAGTGCAGGAAGCCGGGCGGCGGCCGGCCGCGAGGAGGAGGAGCGTGCAGACTTGGGTGGCTCAGCGCGGCGGGGGCCAGCACTACTTCCCCGAGTAGTACCGCGCCGCTCCGCCCCGGAGTGACGCCCTCCGCCCATGGGCCTGGCCGAGGGCAACCGGCGGGCGGCGCGGAGGAGGCGGCGGCGGCAGGTGGCGCGCAGCAGGGCCGGAGCCGGGCCGGGACATGGCCGCCTCGGAGCGGCTGTACGAGCTGTGGCTGCTCTACTACGCTCAGGTGAGCCCGCCCCGCGCCGCTCCCGCTGTGCCCCCAGCTCCGCGCGCCCCGCGCCCGCTGCACCTGCGCCCCGCGTTCCCGGGGCCGCGTAGATGCGCGCGCGCGCAGGGCGGACTCGGGCCCCGCACACACGTGTGCGCCGCCCCCGGCCCGCCGGTGCCTCTGGCCTTCTACCTGGGGGATGACCCCCGCGGGCGTGCACCTCAGAGAGCCCCTCGGGTGGGGACCGCGCAACCTCGGTCGCGCCTGATGAGGAGAGGGGCCCGGATTGAGGCGGCCGGACACCTCCCCCTTTTACAGGTGGAGAAACTGAGGCTCGGCAAATAAATGAGAGACCTTGTTGGGTTGGGAGGGGCAGGAAGGCTTAGTCTGCATTTGGGCTTGACACTCCTGTGGGCGCTGTCCTATTGAATGGTCATGGCCGAAGGGTCTGAGGGGGCTCGGGGCGGGGGGTGGGTGTCGGCAGGCGGGGGGCGGGGAGAGGTAGGTGGCGTCCCTACTTTGGTCCAATTTGAGTCAACTCGGACTACTCCGCATCAGTGCGCTGGCAGTGATGAGCTCCTCCCTGACCCTGAGCCGAGGAGGCCCCTACCCCACCCCTGGGTAGACCTGGGGGTCCAGCCAGAAGAAAAGATTTGCCTTGGATGCAGAGGGAGGGAATAGGGGAGGTGAGGTAGGAGGGATGTTTGAAAGGGTTGGAGGGAGGCCCTTTCCTCCTGAGCTCCCTGTCCTGTCTCAGAGACTACCTCCTGTGGCCTCAGAAGGTGAAGGGAGTGACTGACCCAGCTGTCCTGTCAGAGCTGAGAACCTCGTGTCCCCCAAACTCTGTGTCTCACGCACATAGGCTCCCACTTTCCTTCTGCTTTCACAGCAGGGAGGGGTCCCAGGGTAACAGCCCCCTCGTCTTCACCTCGCTTCGGCGTCCCTCCCTGCACCTGCCTGGCATCATGCTCCTGGCTCAGGTGTACCCTGGGCACAATGGACTATTGTGTGCCCCTGATCTCGTCACTAGGGGGAAGTTCATGACCAGATCAGCTGGCCCTCTGTGAAGAGGCTGGCCGGCTGTCTCCTAGGACTGCAGGCTGGGTCTGGGGCCCTAGGGACCTGGAATCCAGGCCATAAGGACTGCCGCTTCTTGAGTCCACTTCGGTGGTGAGAGGTCCAGGCCCCTGGTAGGAGGCATCGTGTGTAGAGTCCCCCTTCGGTGTGACCCAAGGCAAGCTCTTTACACCTCTGAGCCTCTACTTCTCTATCTGTAAACTCGGCGCAGCCCTGACCTCAGGGTGGCCTAGACTCTGCAGAGGGGTAGCCCGTCTGGCTTGTCTGGGCCAGAGAAAACTCCTGCTTCCTTGGCCCCACTGGGTGCCCTCACTCAGGCCTCTCTGTCTACATCTCCAAGGGTTGGGGTCCTTGTGAAGGGAAAAGATCCAGAAGGAAACCCGCCCCTGGCCCTCCTGCCTCTGATCGCCCAAATGGCTCTGGGCGGATCCTCAGTCCTCAATTTTTTCCCCTGTGACTAGGTGAAGGGGGGCTTGAACCAGGTAGTGAGTCCGAGGGATGTTAACGTCAGTGCTGCTGGGGGAAGGCTGTCTCCCAGGACTGGACCTCCAGCGGAGCATGGTTGCCTCCTCCTGCCCCCTCCAGCTGAACTCTGCAAGTGGCCAGCCCCCCATTCCCTCAGCAGGGGGTTAGCACTCATTTCGGCTGAGTTCCCTCTCCCCATCCAGCTCCTCACCTCACCAGGGCAGGTCTGGGGCACGGGCCGGCTGATTGGAGCCCCAGAAGCCTGGGCAGTCAAGGGGCAGCCTAGGGCCTGGCAAACAAATCCAGGATGTGAGTATGAACCGGAAGCTTCAGCCAACCTCCCAGCACTGCCTTCCTGCCCACTTGGTCCTGCTCCTGCTCCCGGAACAGGTCCCCACCCCTCCATGCTGGGCTCCCAGGGAGTGGTGGCTATGCTACTTTGAGCCCTGCTAGGGACCTATTGTGTGGGTGTGCTTGGGGGAGGGGGGAAGATAAGGGAAGAGGTTGAACTGATAGAGGGTGTCAAGAGACCCCTGAGTTGGCCAGCCACCCAGCCAGAAGGTTCTCCCAACAACCGCGCCCCTCCCCTCAGCTGAGAGAGCTGACATCAGCTGGCAAACCTGTTTTCCCAGTTGTGGGTCTAGGCCCGCCCAAGGGAGCACCCCCTTTCTGCCCTTCCTTTCTCCTCACAGACCCCAGGTTCAGACCCGCCTGCCCTCCTCCCTCTGTGGGCCCTGCTCAGCTGGGAGCCACAAGTGGGGAAGGTGGCTGCAGGTGGCTTCGGAGGGAGGAAGGAGGGCCAGACTGCCCCTGGACATGACTTAGTCTGAGCCCCTCGGGGCCCTGGTGGGGAAATCAAGGTGGGGTCATACCAAGGTCATGGGACACGTTTGGGGTAGAGTCCATCAGAGCTCCAACCCAGTCTTCCGCCTGTGTTCCATTGCCCGGGAAAGGTCTAGTCCTGTGGGCCGGAGGCCTGGG